CTGCCTCCCACGCCCACTCGCGTGCGCGCGCGGCGCGGGCCCGACGCCGGTTCAGGACTCCTGCGCGCGTGAGCGTGCGGGGTGCCCCCGACCCTCGCTCGGCGGCGCTATCGGAGCGCCGGGCCCGCCCGCGCTCGTGGCCTGGAGCCCCGAGTGGGCGACGTGGCTGCCTTCCCGGGGGTACACACGGGGACCTGCCTCCCCCTCAGGCCCCTAAGGAGCATCTGGGGCCGACGTGTGCGGGCGGGGACTGTCCACGCCGCAGGACCACGGACCCGGGCAGCGGCGTGGACTGCAGCCGCGTGTCCTGTCGGTAGTTACTCCCAGTTTTCCCGCTTCCGGGCCCTTGGATCCTGCTGCACTTCCAGAATGGCTTGCGGCTGGCTCTGCAGCGCGCTGCACTCCCGCGTGTGCCCCGCCAGGGGGCGCGGGCCGCTCACTGCCGGGTGTGCAGCCCTCCAGGGGCACTGCCCAGTGCGCCCCACACCGATGATCCCAGTCGGGAAATCCTCCGCTTGGCTCTCCCACCCACTTCTCCAGTCTGCTCCATAGGAGCTTAAGCCTGTCTTGGAGGTCCAGGAGCTGACCATCCGCCTCTGTATGACTCCGAGCTGCGGAGGGTGGGGAATCTTTGAGCAGGGACCAGGTGGCAAGTGCTGTGCCTTAATGAAAAGCAGAGAGCTGGACCGACCCTGGAGGCCTGGGTTCTCGCGTCAGCCCCACCTGTTATTGGCGATGTGATAGCTAAATCGGTCCCCCTCTTCAGGACAGATTTCTCAGTATAAAAAAACAAGTGCTATGTGCACAAACCGTAATTTGCAAGTCCCTCTTCTCACACATTCTCAGTCAGTGACATGAAGATAAGCCTTGCTTATTCGATCCCTAGAGAGATGAATCTACACGGTTCCATATTAAGTGCATATTAAGTGCAACACCTCCGGAAATATCTGCGGGTGTAGCTTGAAGCATTCTGGAAGTCTTGTTTAGTTTTAAAATTCGTATGAATTTCGCATTCTGCTCCATAATGGATTTCTTTGCTTTGATGAAGAAAACAATAGCTTCTCCTGTCCCCAAAACATCTTTTCGTAAAATTTGAAGATGTACCATTATCCTGTGATATTCATTACCTATTCGGTTTTTCCGTAACTATTCAGCACATATAGAAACCAGATTTGGTCCTTGTTCCTCCCGAGCTCACAGCACATTGGGGAAAATACGTTATACAACCAACTAAGAGTAACTGTGTTGCTTTTCAACTGCAAAGGTGCAAGGGTACCTAAAGTGGACTCAGCTTCCTAAGAAAAAGGCACTTCCGGTTACATAGGCGAGGGAGCAGTTAAGACACCTCTGGTTAGAGGGAAGGAAAGGTGAGAGGGCCCCAGCAGGCAGGGCTGAAGCAATAGGAAGCCTCCAGCAGGCACCAACCAGTGGCTTGCTAGCCCTTCAGGGCTGGTTTCGATAAAGCTTGTATTTCTTGAGGCTAGAAAGGCACTGAAGGGTGTTAAGTGTTGGGAGTGGGCAAGCAGGATCACATTCCTGTTCTTGAAAGGTGTCTGAGGCAGCCATGTGAGGAGCTGGTTCATTGCAGGCTCAGAGTCCAGGGCAGGAAAACCGAGCCAGGATGCTTCCCGTGCGTCCTATTTGTAAAGTACTTGGTGTTTTCTGTGTATGCCCTAGCTAGCTGATCTTTTGGGTTCTTGGCTCTGCTTTCATATGCACTCGGTTTTGTTAGGGGGAGGGGGAAGTATCAGAATACCTTTCTGTAAATCATTGTTCCCTTACTTTCAATGCCCTGTGTTTTTAAGGACATTAGCTGGGGCTGGAGAGATGGATCAGCAGTTAAGAGCACTGGCTGCTCTTGCAGAGGGCTCAGGTTTGATTCCCAACACCCAAATGGCAGCCAACAACCATCTGTAACTCCAGTTCCAGAGGCATTCGTAGTCCTCTTTTGACGGCCACAGGGCTTGCAGGACACGGGTGCACTTAACACATATGCAGGCAATACACTCATACACATAAAATAAAATATTAAAAAAGACTTTAGCTAATCTTGTTAAATTTTAGGTTAAATTTATATA